TCTAGCTGTCGGATTCCAACTAAGTAATCCTAAAAATATTGTATTCACTATGATATTGGAATATTTCGGGTCCAACCTACACCTAGATTGTCAGAGCGCATTACTGAGGATGGAAATCCTTAGATGAAATAAAAGCCCAATGCTCCTTAATTTCCATTCCGTTCACTCATATTTTGATAGCAGATATTTTGTCCATGAATTGGAAAGAAGTAAATAGACTAACTAGCTCCTACATAAGTTTACATTGATTGTATTACAAAAGTTGGCATCTCTGTCACTCACAGAGGCCACTGCTCACACTTTAAAGCATGGATCAATCAAACTTACTTATTTACTTAGCGTTTTTTCAGCGAGTTGGTTTTCTATGGGATGAGGTCACTAACTCCATGCCCAACCCCCCCTCTTTTATCAGGGCTTGGGGACCGGTAGTAGCCGCGGGTGGGTCAACAGTCCATATAAAAGCACATGAGTTTTGTGTATTACCATTCGTTCAAACCATTCCAACTTCCTGCATATTCTAAGTTTTCTCAGTCTAGTTAACTGGTTAGAGATAAACGTGTATAGTAACTGAATCAAACCGAAAACTATAACACTAAACTAGTATCTAATCATTTATATTACAAATTTAAATCAATTCAACAGTTCATAAAACCTGTGTTTAACAGGTTAGTTACAATAGTTGAGCATTTATTGACAAAAACCCAATTAACAGACAATAATAATGAATGAGTGTAGTCTACTTATTAGTAATATAGTAAATAGCAACCAATTGTGATTCATTAAATACTCAATTCAAACCAGGTATAAGATAACAGGTCTCAGATTTGGCTAATATAGTGTTTTAGCATTATAGTTGATGTCAGTTCATAATGAAAACCTTAAATCCAATTTCTAACCTTAACCATTAACCGTAAATCATAATTCTAATTCCTCACACATTGGTTTATAATCTTCATTGGATCATAGTTATTAGGTGGACATCCTGAAGATTAGTCTAGAGTTGCTCAAAGGTCATCCATAAATTATAGTTTCACCAAAAAAACCTAACATTTCACGAACTTCCTGAGAAATTTTGTTAAACACGTCACCCTAGAAATTTATTATACTTCAGTTAGCTTATTTATTGGATAGAAAACCCTTTACTATTGTCAGTATTCTAAGGTATTTATAGAAAGGGTTTGGTGGAATTTATTAATGTTTACATGATCATTATGATTTTCAAATCACCGAATGAGCTTGGCTCGACCACCACTAAACAGCTATTTCGTCTTAGAAGTGGACTCCTTGGTAGTGAACATCCACGGCCCTGCTACAGAGGATTAAAATCAAAGATCTTCTGTCAACCTCATAAACACTCAACCCCTAGACCACTGGGCGAACACCATTTGGTACACAACTAATCGATGATACTGAGCAACCAACTCCAACTGTTTTCAGTACCTTCATCACACTCGATACAGCGAAGATCTACGGTTCAACCCCTGGTGATGGGGTTATGAATTTTGACTGATGAACAACACCATACTAGGAAGAAAAAGCTATCCAAGTTCTCAATGGATGTCTAACTTGGATTGTTTTGTAATCTTAATAAAAAACAATGATCATGACGCAAGATAAAGTAAAGGGTCCGAGTCCCGGAATGAATATTAACTCAGCGATGTGGGTACACCCAGCTGACGAGTCCCTAATGGGACGAAACAAGCGTCCTAGATTCTACTGCTAGCCATCACCCATCTTTGCTTATAGTCATTATCATTGTCTTAAAAAGACTGCTAAATAAATCCATTTTGTAGAACTTTGTCTAATCCATGATTTATAAAATTTCTATGTCGTTCAACCACATCATGCATAGTTTATTAGTGATTTTATCGATATTTGTTGAGAGAATAGTAGCATAAACTTTTGTAAAATAATGTATTAAGACGATTGAACCAAATAGTTTCAAAGTATCCAATCATCACGATGATATAGTTGCCATAGTGATACAGTTTTCTATATCATAATTTCACATCACAAGTAGTAGGTATTCATTGGTGTTAAATATTATAAATATGCCTGTTTGCTAGCAAGATGAGCATACATAAACCTCCGTTCAATAATCTTATGATCTGAGAGCATAAAACAACCCCAGCATTATCTTACAAAATTTGGGTTAAAACAATCTTATTCATTTCAATATACTCCCTGTTTGTGGAAATACACTTTTGAAGCCTTGATTTCGATTGTTTATAACACCACTGTTAATCATCAAGAGTTGGGATTTACTATTGCTTCATTGTCATGCAATGTTTAAGAACCTTGAATGCTTAGCTGAAACGACTGGTACAGATGACTTTTTGCATTATCGACTAGAATATACAGTGAATCGATGATTGAAAAAATCAAACCGAATATGTTCAGTGTCTTCACGAACATTAATGGTCATCTCAAGCATTGCAATCTTGTGGTTCTCACTGAAACGTTTGAAGATAGCTACTTTTCAACGCATTATCGCGAAAAAATAGTAATGTCTGTTATTGACAACCCTAGTTACTCAGTTCATAGGCCTCACCATACTACAAGGGAAAACCAAGATCCTCAGATACAACCAGAGAACATTAACCCTATCACACTCGATGGAGAAACTCAAAAACAGGTAGAAACTTTCGCGTATCTGGACAGTATCATTGACGAACAAAGAGGATCTGATGCAGACGTAACAGAAAGGATTGGCAAAGGAAGGGCCGCATTTCTGCAATTGCAGAACATACGAAACTCAAAACTGTCTGCAAGCCATCATCAAATCACAATCTTTAATGCGAACATATTGTGGAGGAGAAAAAATCAGCTTCTAGCTGAGGAGGAAATTAGGAAAATACGTTGTAGGTGGATAGGATATCTAATACGGACATCATCAAACTGCATCACGAGACAAGAGCTAACTTGGAATTCTGAAGGGAAACGGAAATAGGAGGACCAAAAAACACACTACTCCGGGAATCGGAAACAGACATCAAAAGAATGAATAGGGACTGGAAAGAATTGCGTAGGACAGAGATCGATGGAGAATGGTGGTTGGTGACCTACGTTCCTCCACAAGAGGTAACAAGCCTATGTAAGTAGTCACTTAGTTCATGTATTCATCAGACAGATTATAACCAATCTATTTTTCGGAAAATCCGAAAACCTAGAACTTATCATTATGTTAAACATGTGACTCTTCATAGCTTACCATTAACACCGACAGAAACGAGATGACTCAGTAATTACCACAGTATTAGGTAGTTAAACATACTGATCAACCATATATTTTCGAAATATAACTGCATGGCTTGGTGACGAACCAAGTGGACTACATGGCGTGTTTATTTATCATTTATTTTAACACATAGGTATTGATACAAGGAGGCACCAAATACATATGCGCAACACGAATCTCAATTGATTTGTGTGAGGGCTGTGATACTGCCCGGGTGCCCAAACCGAAGCAGGAAATGGCGTGTGTTGGGGACATTAGTTCCACAAACGCTATATTTAGAAAGAACTCAAACTGTAAGTTCAAAAATATCGAACAAAAGTGAGCTTTGTCCGTTGAATTTCAATCAAATAGATTGAAATTGTGCAATACTATTCATTTCCCTAAAATCCTTCCGCTTAATGTCAGCCAGTGGATCCTTTTAGATCATGTTCACCCCACGTTGAAATAAGTTTGCAACCGCTTTCTTGCTCTAGACTTTTGTCTCTTTAATTTGAGAAGACTGATAATCCTGTTAGTTTGTAAAACGTCACACGAACTGACTTGTCGCACTACGGATACTGTAGTTAAGCTAATTAAAAAATATGCGGACAGTACTCGTCATAGCAACGTCAAAGATTTAAAGCCAAGAAGCAAAGGAAGGCCCTTTAACATACTATAGCAGTCTGTACAGTACGGACACAACTGGTAGGAATCCCAACCAGTAAACCTAGTCACCTCAGAGACCACAGTGCTTTTGGATAATTCAGTGGAAAATTGAAGTTTATATCTCCAACTCCAATCAATATGTCCTATAGTGTGATGACTATTCACAATTACTGTGTCAATCTCCACACAGACAATCTTCATTGGTTACGCAGAGGGATTCATGTTACAACTGGTCACTGGTAAACACACGATTATAACTTGCTTGGGAGTTGTAGAAACTAACGATTGCCAGAAGCATTCCATTAAGTGATGGCAATTGAGAAGACCTCACCGGTAGATACTGCATATTGTGGACGACTATATAATAGCATTAATATCACGAGATATGGAGATTACACAAAAAAATAATCTGGTTAGAATGAAAGAACGTCATGATTCAACTAATGATATAATCTAGCTAGTCTATGTACTGTAAATTCTCAATGGCCAAAAAAATTCCGATGAAAACAACTTTATTGATAACTTCAAATAGTTACTGAAAATTAATTAGCGTTACTGAATTTGTCAACTCATAGGCCTCAAGTCTGAAACCTACCTCACTTAATTCAAATAGGATAAGCGCAGAGTATACATCGGACCTTACATATTGAATTAATTTCAAAGTAGAGCAAATAAGCCTGCGCCTAATAAATGAACTACATTAATCATTAGAATATTAAACAAACAACCAGCAAAACATTCAAATTAAGATATGACATGCGTCATTTGATATATCCTTAATAACGGAGTAACATGATCTATTGTGATCATTGATTTATTTGTATTGATATTCTGAAAAGATTTATAATATGAACAAGAATGAACATGACCATCAGTAATCCTCATACTAATATACATATGACATTATGAGATAGAATTGTTCATCAGTCAAAAGAGCATAAGTCAATATAGACGAAATTCTATACCCTATTAAACAAATAATCAGCTTTCTCTATACACTAAACCCTACAGTTATAGGATTTTACAATATTAATTCTAGTAAATTTATAAACATTTTTTTCCTGTAAATGCACGGTATTTAGAAAGATCTGCTCCATGAAAAAAAAAACACTAAATATCCGTTTAAAATAATCGACAAGATTAAATGTATTCAAAATCCCATTTACTTGGATGTTAATACAGTTTGCTATACAAATTGATTCTAGTCGATACATAATTGAAATGTTTATTTCATTCATAGGATATTTTGTCAAACAAAATGAATAGTACGAGGACAGATTGACAATGCACAACTAGGAAATGGAACCGGAGAAAAAAAAGCTGTGAGAAATAATTAAAAACAAACATTGTACATTACAATAGGTGTACTGAGTGATTTTCATTGTAAAGTAATGACTGAGTCATACACATTCACTCAACGTACATTTGTCAATTATTAAACTATTCCAAACGACTTTTTTCATCAAAATCTTCCACAAGCTCTGGTACATCATCATCTCCATCATCTGCCTTTGAATCTGATGTTTTTGAGTTTTCTACAAAGGTAATATTGAGAAATATAGAAATCATTAACAGCGGATAGTATTCAATGGAACAATTAATAATGAAATGGCATGTCATATTGAGGCTCTATACTAAATAGCGAGATTAAGGAACCTTTCTGATTATTTTCAGTGCCAATATAGGTTAATACTAACAGTATAAACACTTGTAAAAAAACCTTGCTAATTAAGCAATTTTATTACACTTATGATACACAATACGCTAATCTTTGTCTATCAAAATGAAAGTCAACACCACTCTTTACATCAGAACTGAAATTTGACAGATATACGAACATGAGAACTTATGCGACCTTATGAGCTTCCGGATAAATTCATTACGGTGAGGTATCACGGTAGAATATCCAACTTGATCTATTTTCATCATGTAGAGGGCCCCATACATTAATATAGGTAGTTGTCATCAGTAGTTTTGTCAGCTTCTTTAGAACAAACCTTTAATATTTATTCGTTATTTACTGTTCATAACAATGAAGACAAATAGATAAAAGCTACATACTAACGAGCTACTTCTATGCGGAGATAAAAAATTTTTTATTTCAAATAAGTGGAGTGTGATTAAGGATAGATTACGAAACATTGCAGTACATTTCAGGGTTATCAGAAATTAACCAATCATGCGTTGAATCACAATAATATGAATTTAATATCAACTTTACATCACAGAGATCATGTGTACAGGCGAAAATGAGAAGTTGGTAAATTGCTAACAATCTGGGGTCAAGACTGGAAAATTAATAGCAATACGTTTCGGCCACTATACTTGATTGAGTGAAGCATAAGGATACCTTGATTCGGTGATGAGACACAAAGTACGGGTTAATAATTGCAAGAAACAGTTACGAGGCACTTTTACTAACGATAGAAAGCAACGCACTCGTTTACATTAGTAATGCAAAATACAGCCCGGATAAAAACGACTTAGTTGCTGATGCTTTTACAGACTATCTTCGGTATACGACCGTAAGGCAAGGAGCACTTAGACTAATTCCGCAAAAGTGTAACTTGATTGCTCATCATGCCTTTTGTGGTATTGATAGTAGATACTCTGAGCTACTTTGTTTATCCTTTCGCGCTAACCATTTTAACTTTCTTTAACAATAGTAAGATTGACAATAATGATCCTCTGAAAACCTCTAGTACGGCCCAAGTTCTCACTCGGAATACTCTCGTATAACCACGCGTATATAGCCACTGCCACGGTATACTTAACTACCGCCTCTTCACCGCGATGCTGTTTACGAAATCGACAACGGAAAACAAATGTTCGGTGCTTAAACCGGGTTCATGGTTATGAAGCATCTATTCAGGAGTTGAAAAACCATGATTCTAAACCAATAGTTCATGTACGTTCAAGTTTCTTAAGGGATATGAGATATGAACCTATTGTTGATCACAGGGTACCATGGATTCGCACCTTTTAAAGTGTCTTCATTGTCTTGTGGTTTAGATTACTAAGTCAAAGGTTTGAGGTGTGACCTCCCAAGGGAAAAAACCTGTTCCGTGTATGGGCACCCGGTGTCACATGTATATTTTGAGGCTTCTTTGATAATAATAATAAATAATCGCTTCCACAAAAACACCTACAAGTCTAGACTATTGCCTCGAGTCAATTGGTTTACGCTACTGGATGACTGACGTTAACTATCAAACACTACAAGTTAGTCTGAGCTCCTAAATCAGATAGAACCACTGCATAGATGAACCAAATATTTTGACACACAAAACTTTTTTACTAACCATTCATTTTTGCCAATCGTAATTTTGCTGTCTCCCATTGATTAAGCATATTTGGGAACAAATCATTTAGTGCTGAAGAATACATAAGAATAACACAAAGATACTTTTATATTCAGCTTGTCCAGAAACTGCAAATACATTAGCTTGTGGAGCTGCTTGAACTTTTGGATTCTTGAAGTGGATCATAGTTCCATCTGGTTTATACATGTTGACCTAACATTGAATAAAAATCAATAGTATGATACCTCCTCTATGGTTGGGATAGTATTGAGGTTTAGTTTCTTTAGTGAACTTTGAAGTTTCTTATCATCGGCGGCAGCATTCTTATGAACCACTTTTTTCTTCCGGCGAGCTGTACCTTTGCCACCGATGCGCACCTGGTCACTCATCCCCTTTAACTTTTCCAACTTCTCCATGCGCACTTTATCAACATCCATCTTGGAATAATCTATAAGCCAATAATTCCAGTCTAATAGGCAAACGCACGGTTAAACTAGCCGAATCACGTCCAACAAGTCACGCCCAGGGTAACCTTGATCCCGGTGCAGTCTGTAAACAGAAAGCATTGAAACAAATGAAGGATAATACCTTTTGCTACATTATGGCAACAGACAAACTGCAAACAAGAATATTTTAGAAAACCTGACTTTTCTGCTTAATTTTAACTATTATCATATAAATTAACTGACTATTGATTAGAATTTTTGTTGCATTTATGGAAACAGTTTCAGTTTCGGTTTGGAATGAACAGGGGATAAAGTGGCTCATTTTAGTCCTGATAATAGTATTCTCTTAGTTGGCCCATTTTTCCTTGTATATATCGACAGATGGAGGTTCAATCACTTGTTGAAGTAACAAGTTCCATGCGTTAATGATCCGATGGCAAAGTTGTTAGTCAGCTAACAAGTAATTTAGTTCTGGCCCCATCAACTTCTTAAATGGTCAGGTCGCCTCTGTTTCTTTCACATAACATGAGAAAAAGGTTTATTTAAGCCAGCCCCCGATCGTACAGCACAGTTTCGTTTCTTTGAATCCTCAACAGCCGACTGCTCTATTAGACAGAATTTGTGTGCTTGTATACAATACCCAGGTTTATCATGAACAACCACTGTGTACAAATTCAAAAAGGTTTAACACTGACATAGCTAAAGGGTCTACTTACTAGCGATATGGTTCTAAAATCACAACTAAAGAAGTATGTTAAGTTAAATGTTGCCCTCACCATAATCTTTCATATACAGTCGTCTTGACAGTTTAATTCCAGACTATTTGGCAGATGGTGGTTTAGTAGTATACGATCTCGTTAGGATTAAATAATTCTGTCTGATACATTCTGAGAGTCAAACCAGGCGCAAATGGAGATTGGATAATAATAATGTTTGTACCAGGTGATAATCTGTTTATACACTATTACCCAGTTAACCCTAATAGAAATACAAAGTTTCACGTACGTTTGCGCTATTAGTTTTACTGTCGAATGCTTGTAGGTTCGTAACCACCATAGTTTGTTTTGAAAAAACCTAGAAACCATTGGTTCGCGTACTATATTCACTATTATTACTTCTATACTTTATAACAATACGAAGTCAATATGTTTCGGCCTAACATTCTACCAAGAAGTTTAATTCGCACTTATTTACATGTTTGTTAAAACAAAGCGGAAGCGACAGCACGATAATCCCATACATATTAGTTTTCTAATAAAAAGAAGGGTGTGGTTTTGCTGAGTCGTTATGGCGTAGTAATTTCTAACGAGCCGTTTATCGTTCATAGTTGTCCATTGAGAAAAATAATTACTCCTTAGAATTTGCGAACGAAATCGGATCTAGCATCTAAGCACTGAATCCTTTTTATTTTGTTTTGTATACCAAGAAATACTAATTTATCCCAAAAGCATTTAAATTTCCAACGTGTCTACAGTAGGGATATAATAGTTCATTCAAGAATTCAGTGTGTTCAGTGTAACATAGAGTGTTATATGGCTACTAACGAAATATGTGATTTATGTAATTACTCATTTAGTCAACTTCAGTTTTTCTGCAACGTCTGATATAGACGTGATCCTTTTCTCGCAACAGGCTTTTTATAAATTAACGTTGCTCCTAATCTTCAGGTGGTGGCAAGAAATCAAAAATGTACCGACAGCTCACAAGAACCAACACAATCAACGGACAAATACTTCTTTACGTTACAAACAATCATTAAAATAATATGCATTGAACCCAGGCTTCACAGAAGTAAATGTAAAATCCCATCTTAGCACTTCAAGTGCCATATGATCCTTTAGATTCGTATCAGAATACATAAATTTTCACTACCCCTGTAAACCTTCGATTTATAAACTCTGGATCTGGAGTTCCTTAACACGGTATCATACCTCTCTATTTACCTCCCTCAGTAAAGCTATAGACCACTCATTTATTCATCGTTTCAGTACATTGGACGGAAGTCGCCCATTTTAAAAAAAATTAACTACCAGATCTGCAAATATTTAGAAGCTAGCAGCTTCAGCAATCTCGTCCTAGTGTTTCTGTCCAATAATAGTATACATAACTCAAGTGTCCGGGCTATTGATCTACGTGAGACAACTAAAGAAGCTCATTGTCGTGATGAGGTCACTGTTAAGCTTCGATCAAACTGGCAACTAACACCTAGAGATCAGAAATCTATCTATAAACTCCACTACTAATTTCTGACGCAAAAGCAATCGTGCAGTCATAAAACACACAAGTTTATGAACTTCGTTACTAAAGGTAGTCACATGAACGGGATCACGAATTTGTTCAGAAATTCTAAGGTCATCCTAGAGTCTGAATACTGACAACAGTGGTGGATAGCATAGGCACTCATCAACTATTTTTCTCCGTGCTATCGTTTTGTCTAATCATGTTCCACATACGAGCTCTAGTCTACTGACCTTCAGTACAATCGTGCAAGAACCTGTGGTTTCAGTACAACAACATCGTCAACTGTCACTTTTCTTCATTATGTTGTCCATCAGTTTATTTCACTATTCTGGATAATGTGGAGACATATTACCTACACCTACGGTCTTTGAATATGGCTGCTGAATAGTCTGCCTACAGCTTTTAGGAGTACAGTTTCCTAGGTAGACAAGGCTAAAGCATCACAGTTTCATTGAGAAGTGCTGGTTTTATTGAACTTAGTATTATGATGTATTCTTAGTCAAAAATCATGGGAATAAGTGGTCAGATACTGACATTAGTCACAAATAGAAGTGTTTGTGATTGGGCACTCCCCATAGATCTAAACGGTTTAAAATTTATTTGAACTGAACCTCTTGATCTTAATCCAGAGGCTAGAGTAAAGGATTATTCGGGATCACTTATTTTACTACTGTTTGTTAACAACTAGGAAATTGTTGGCTTTAAGGCTTGTACAGCATGTACTTTCAGTTATATAACAATGAAAATGATTGAATGGCTTAGATCAGCATGTATGACAGCCCGGCACCATTATTCTTTCTTTCTATTCCCATCCAAGTATTATCATATTTCATTTGTAAGGCTTTGAAGATAATATAACCTTGAACTTTATACTGTCGTACAGTTTTGGTGGAGTTTAAATCGAAACAGGTAAATGTATACAACCAAACAGTTATAGTCCATTCCTAAAACAAATTAATATTATTAATCCAAGAAATATAAGATGGCGCAATAAACTACGAAGGAAAGGTTCAAGACATGCCTATCAGATATTATTGATTATAACAGAAGGAATACTAAACATGCATCCACAGTGTTTGTTAATGACACGATCTCTCGCCCTGTTTTGCATTTCAACTTCTACCCAGTACTCGTTTAAAAGTACTTTCAAAAATAATCTCTGGCTAGGCAGTTGTTATTTGATTTTAGTAAGGATTCACCTGTATTATCTAATTTCATTGTTGTATGATGCCCGACATTTGGTCATAAGATCGTCTTGAACTGAACATGATGTTACCGAATGTTCGGTTGATCATTGTTGTTCCTTGATTATCCGCCAGGAACGGGTATAGTGATCCTCGCAAATAGATGTTGATACCGTTTTGCCAGGAATAAACATACTGTTTTCCAGATATCGAGTAAATATTTATTAGCGATTCCTGTTGTCGTTTGGCAAGCTATTTTGTTCTAGGGAAACCTTTGACTGTATAACGCAAGCTGTACTGTTTAGGGTATTCTGTGCTTCTGAGAAAATTTGTTTGCTTTTTTAAATTAGAACCAGTTAAATTAAACGCAATGTTTGTGGTTTGATAAAGTTAACTACTCGTGACTCAAAAGGACCTTTAACGTCATTTAGTAGAATGTACATCAGTGTAATCAGATATAGTTTGGCCTATTGGCCCTCCGCATTCAAGCTAAATGTCGGGATTCGCTTGCTATGGTGGGGTACAAGAAAAATGAGCAGGCGATAGGATTAGTCATTTTTCACACAAAACGATACAGTTCCATGTTTCATAGTTAAATAAAAATAATAGTAACCAGCCAGCGATTAAATGAGTCTTAAGTGGTGGATGTACGAAGCAAGTATTATTAGTTCTTATGCTCTCGCTGGCCGAGTTAGTAGGCACTGGATATGGGTCTTGGTGTGAACATAAATACTAGGGTTCAGAAATACGAGTTTATGAGTCCGGAGTATAGCGAAACATATGTCTTGGATTCTACTGCTAATTACTATTAAGATGTGCCCAAAGACAAAAATGACTCTGTCTATCAAAACTCCCTTAATACTTTGGTTCCATTAAACCTTGGTTTCCAGGTTAGTAAACATTAGGTAGTTCAGCTCCTACACAGTTATATGTATGAGAAGTCAGCTCGAAGTCTCAGTTGACTCCAAATTCACTTCAGGATATAGTGTTCCAGTAAAATTCAAGAAGACATCGATTGAGTATTGGCCTCACATGAAATGGAAAAGGATTCACTGTTACTGAGGAGGAAGTAAGTGACCTGGTTGGTGACCAGCTAAAGTGTTTTCATTGAACCCTAACAGAACTTAATAGATTTTCTACCAATAGAACAACTAGACGCATATACCAAAGATTTCAGTGACACCTCTGAAGTCTGTACTACGCATTAAGTTCTCACCCAACACCTGGATTCCCCGACACTCGGGATGATTTTCATGTCGTTTAAAACAGGAGTTCAGCCACATCTAGACACTTTTTTATTCAAATCTCTTCTTTTATTAAGGTGGTCATAATTTTCAGCGAAAACAGAGACGTATGTGATGAAAATGTTGAGTCGCTAAGGGATAAAACGCAAGTATAATAATTTGGCGAGCTTCAAAATTTCCTATTGAACTATGAAACTACGGTCCAGATCAACCTAAGGCCGTATCCCAACCGTGGTTACCAAGATCATCGGAGAGATAATCATAGTAGAATTACCCATCAAAGGACAATCGGTCATATGAAATCCTATATTTTGCACATTGAATCTGTGTCGCCCACGACCATCTTCTAGAAGGATCGAACTGCGATATGACTTAGATAACATGTTCAAATAGTTCAATAGTTAGTGTAACGGAAAGAAAACGTTGAAAATCCCTTCGCAGCTTTTTTGTTGGATAGTACTGTCATTTATTTGATTTTCACCTTGTCGTGTATTTTAACCTTTGTTCAGATCTCGTTTAACCACACCCTTTGTACTTCAATCTTCCCCGTCTGAGCTTTTATTACGTGATGTTGATTAAAGACTTATCATTCGTTACCTAATTTTCTATTGCATGTTGCCGGACTATTGACAGTAAGGCCGTGTTTGACTAAGCTCAAGGTCACGGCATGATTCAGTGTGACTGTTAACCTTTTGACTGTCTGCTTGGGAGGATTGCTAGAATCCCTGCAGATAGATATTTGATCCCATTTTGTTGGGAATATTTTTATTGATTCTCAGGTATCGAACTTTTTGGTATTAACTGTTTCTTTTATTGTTTAGCGCGCTACTTTTCGTTAGAGAAACTTCTGACTGTATAGCACAGGCCGTACCGTTTGAGGTATTTTTGATATAATTTGTTCTATTTCTAAATTAGAACCGTTTAAATTGAGCACAGAGTTTGTGTTTTGATACGAGTGTCTCAAAAACGCTTAGTAAGCTATACAGAAGAACGTAGTCTGGCATATTCGAATACATTTTGGTTAGTCAGTCCTGCGTTCAAACCGAATGCTGGCAGTTTGGTCGTTACAGTTATTACTTAGAAAAACCTGTAATTATTGCTGACATTAAATGTAATGCATGCACTTGAAATTTTCAGGTCTGTCCAAAATTACTATATTTGCTACAAATTTACCAGATAACAAACAAAGAAAAGGATCGCGTATTTGTAGAGGTATCACATTCAGAACTATGTGCACATTAATATACAAACGTTTCATCATTTCATAAAAACACAAGATTTCAACAAAAGTTCACTGATGAACATCAGCTAAGAGAGCAGGCGTAGATATATAATCTATAGGACACTTTTAACATAAAGTTTGGGGTGAAAAGATCTGGACAAAATCAAAGACTACGAATTAGAATCTACTCCAAACTGCCATACAACAGAGAGTAAATTATTAGATTTTTTAATACCGTATAATAGAGCCTACAGGTACCTTGGAGAAACTGTTAGAGTTTTGTCATATCTTTTTCATATCTTCTTCAACATACCTCATCTAATCCAGCGCTATGTGTCTAATTAAGACAAAACACTTTCATGGCCACTAAGCAGGGAACAGAAAGTTTCAACCTCTCATATATTAGAAAAGCCGAAAGTTTAGGTCAATCTGATAGCAGTATTCCAAACGTCAACCTGTGGTGGTGTTGGTCCCAACAACACAATCCCCAAAGCTGAGCATAAGATTACTGATAAAACCGATATTCAAAATTACGCATGGAGAGAGGGTTAACAATAAGGAACGCAGGAAAATTCATTCAATCGGATGGCATCGCTCAGACGTGGTCATCCTTCACAACTTTTTTATTTGCGTTAAATACGTTATCTTATCTTTGGTCTAAATGTGTTCTTCCGAAGTACTAAGTATCATATTATTAACTGTTATAATATGACGAGTCAGTGTAGATGATTATGGGACTTCCACATAAGATCTCATAGATTGGGTAGTCACATCATGAAAAATTTACAATTATGGAATTAGTTCCATTACTAGAGCACGACTAATAACGACTTAGACCATAATTCTACAAAACCACAATTTGGATGCGACCATGTATGGTGTTTATAACTATTACAACTATTAATCCGTAAAACCGTCAAAAAAGGAAGGTGGTGCACTCAAAACGAATCAAAGTGTTGTGAAATCTTAACTTACGTCTAGTACACAGACTGAATTACCCGATCATAGTACCTAGGCAGTGAAATCCTCCGGTAAAAATCATCATTATATGCAACTAGAAAATTGACAAATATACGCATCGGTTTAAGGTGTAATGTAACATTCAAGCGATCAGATGAAATTATTTGAAGACGATTCCCAAAGAAGTGCAATTAGTATCGGCAGTAGAAAAAATATGTGCAGGAAAGAAAAAGGGCACATGGAAATTTCAGAGCTTGGGCTCTAGAGGAATATAATTAGTACACGCAGCTCCGTCAATTTGGACTGAGCCATACAAAGTCTATAATCATTGGTTACGATAATCATTCGGACCCTAATCAGACAATCTAAACCTGTTGGCATGGCTGAACACAATCAGTGGAATCTTACCAGAGTGACTTCATATATCAAACAGAATGAATTAGGAAAGTGAGCTGTGTAGACATTCCCATGTAAACATATCAATAGCGCACTAACAATTGACGATTATCAATGTTCAGTGATCTGCTAAATAACCCAAAAAAGTTCCGGGTTAGTATACGATTTAACTACAGATCAGCAGAATTTAAATGTTTCCACAAAACTCTGAAGCAGTGACAAAGCAAAATCAGGTAGGCATCCAACTTTTCCAATCCAGTGATCACTAGCTACAAGTTCACCCTCAACCAAGTAGCACCAGTGCTATAGACGAAGAAAAGAGTGGAACTCTATGAGGAAAACTTCTGTCAATCCTTAAATTATTGTCAGTCATACGAAATGGTGAAACTAGTAGCTAGACCATATACACTAGACGATACCAAAAACCTGGAACCGTACCGTAGCATTAGGAATTGAGCAAAAGGAAGCCAAATAGTCAACACCAGACAGTGGGTATTATGGATCGTTGAGTTTACTTTCCTAGATGTTGAGATTTGAAATTTCGATTTAGTGCGCGGCATCAAAATTCGTGCGTTATAGTAATATGGTACACATGACAGGTTGGCCGAAAGGTTCGGCCGAAAAGTTTCTCCATTCTACACCCGTTGCGAAAACAATAACGTTGTAAGTGATTCCATGATCCCAGTGGTTTGCTATTGACTAGAACCTATATAGGAGTTTCATGATATTTTAGGTAACTTAACTACCTTTTTTTGTACATAAACGCAGTCATGAACTCTGGATTGATGGTCAAATTTTGATGTAAATAGTCTTTGATAATGATGAATAGCTTTTTATTACTGAGTCATCTTTTTGCACTTACCTTCACGATTCAGTTTTCGTCCAGATAGGTTTCCTACCCGATCTTATAATTAGTTTGAGGATGAGATTAAAGACGTCTAAATTATTTTTCTACTTATGTAACTGAATTTTTCAAATAATAACGTTATGTTATGGAAGCTGTGTTAATTTCTTGACATCATAATTAAGGTTTAGTTGAGTTCAATATCAATAATACAATGTATACTGAGCTTTTAGCTGCGTTTTACACAGAATTAGTAATGCTTTACCGATCCCCGGACCGTTACAGCCTTTCATTGGTTTTTTATACAAGTATGAAGTGTATTGGAAAAAACCGTCTACAGTCTTTCTAACGTCATTCTGAATATGCGCCCACCTGATTAGTAGATTTTGTTATTCGGTTCCTTCGCATTTGTGATTTGATACATATGTTTTACTTATATTCAGATGTCATGAGACAATGAATATCTTCTATATATGAACAATTTGAATAACAGGAATCTCTGGACCAAAATAGTTCATAAACGTCAGAAATATCAAACATATGATAACATAGTTATTTGGTTCATTTTATGTTTTATTTATTTTAACACATAGGTATTGGTACAAGAAGGCACCCAATACATATGCGCCACACGAGTCTCAATTGATTTGTGTGAGGGCTGTGATACTGCCCGGATGCCCAAACCGAAGCAGGTGGTTTTCTTAGGGGGCCACACCCCGAGCCTTCGACTTGAACGTCTGACCCACAAGGCAGTGGAGCATCGTAAGGAGATGCAGTCCCATGGTAGCCGGTGACCAATAATTGGTTCATACGCCATTTGTTCATTCAGGATACTGGAGTCCATGTGAACCATTGATTTGGGATCTGGTTAAAGCGCCGGACATTCGCTTTTCGTCCTCTCATTTTCGTAAACAACACCCCCGCCACGAGAGGGCAGTGAGTAGGACTTCCCTGGCAGAGACTATATACGCGTGTCCATATGAGAGCATTTCGAGAGGGAGAGCGGACTCTCTCCACTCTCGGCCGTACCAGGGCATTCGGGGGCAAAGATAGTTATATTAGTTTTTAGGTGATACAGTACTTACCATTATATCCATCTTTTACACCAGGCATATAGTTTTAGTTTGTATTTGTAAAGTTCTTCGAGAATAAAAAACTATCGTCTGGAAAGGAGTAGCAGGTTATCCACGTTCACGGTGTACCCAGACTTTTCCCACGTATTTTAACTCCGCAATACTCACTGTGACAGATTACAAGGAGAAAAATTCATTCACTTGTACTTCAGAATTGACTTGCTTCATATCCTTGCAATCTGAGGTTTTAGCACCAGGGTACGACTTTAAAAAAATATGTTTGATTAATAGAGGATTCTTTTCCTATGGTAAATTTGTTTACAGATGTATTCTATCGCTATTTACTATGACAAGTGTTTGTACTAAGAATTGTATTCAAAGGCGAAACCACTTAGTTAGTTAACTAATCTTGTTGTCTATAGTAATGTAGGGGCTGATTGTTTGTTCGTTTCGAATATTTGAAGTTCCATGAATTTTGCATGAAGTCGGTTTTGAACCCTGCTTAATACGATACAACAATGCATAGCGTACATAAAATCTGTCCCTATTTCCAATTCGTATCTAGATATCCTTTGAAAAGTTACAGTTTTGGCACCAAAGAACCCAATTATGAACGAGATCGGAGTGTTCCTGCTCGATTTCAACGGTTACAGGAAGATTTTGAGAAGTATGGTATGCGTCGATCAGTTGAAGGAATCTTACTTGTACATGAGCACAACCTACCTCATGTCCTCTTACTTCAACTCGGTACGTTTTTCAAACTCCCTGGAGGTGAACTGCATCCAGGTGAAGAAGAAATTGAAGGTCTAAAGCGATTATTATCTGAGGTATGTTGAAAATATATTACATCAAACCAGTAAAAAATTAACAAAACAAATGCACATGTCATGTATACAATTCGACTATCCTTTTTCCTACTTTTGAATCACTGTCAAATAATTCTCTATCGAATCAGGCTTCTCAGATTGAACAACTTTCCTTGAACTCTTAGTTACTGTTTTCCGTCAATTGTTAACCGTCGATCCACATCGACAGTAATTCTTATCCATAACATTTCAAATAAATTATCTTCCAGTTATGCGTAATATTCTGTTTGGATATGAGTAGATATGGCTTCCTATTTTTGTTTAGAGTGGCGGTTCAGTAGTTAAGGCGCCTGAATTTCGACCACTAAAACTCAAGTCTGAACCCCGCCCCAACTTCAGTTTAGGCCACTGGGTAGTATCACTAACCCTCGTACTTAGAGTGTGGCTCATATCCAAGTACCTGGTATTTTATATTTATAAAACGAGCTAGTCTTAATACTTTGTATAACATTACTTCTGTGTCCCTGTGGTTCTTTTCACTGCTTTTTAAACCGTATTTAACAGTTCGACCAGATTTGACTAGGAAAATCAGACGATATGGGTTTATTATACCATCATGATGGTTTTTTCCATGAATAAAATATTATATATATATATATATATATATATATATATATATATATATACCTTTTCCATTTAGATGTTAGGCCGGACGGATGGTATCCCAGTTGACTGGATTCCAGAAGACTGTATCGGTAATTGGTGGCGACCGAATTTTGAACCACCTCGCTATCCATATATTCCTGCTCATGTGACTAAACCTAAAGAACAAACACGTTTATTTCTAATTCAACTTCCTGAGAAAACATTGTTTGCTGTACCATCAAACTATAAATTAGTAGCAGCTCCGTTATTCGAACTTTTTGACAATGCTCGAGCCTATGGTCCAATTATTTCTTCTTTACCTCAAGTATTAAGTCGGTAAGTTATGCATGTAAAGTTCCTTTTTATATGCGAGACATCTATCTCTCAACCAAATGATGAGTTTACTGCTCAGCAGTTCACTCTGTTTTACAGTCGTGAAACGTGACCTTTAAATATAGAGGATATTCATAGACTACCAGCATTTGATCATATATTTATATTATATTTATATGAACACATAAATATTGGTACAAAAGGGCACCAAATATATATGCGCCACACAAATTTTCATTATATTTGTGTGTGGGCCATTATACTGCCCGGGTGCGCAGACCGAAGCAGATGGTTTTCTTAGGGGGCCACACCCCGAGCGTTCAACCTAAAGGACATGACATGTTCTACGTATGTTCACCCATCGACTACCATGACGAGTGATGATAGCTAGTGTAGGAGCAAGTTGAAAGAAACCCAGGGGTGGGCGAACTAAGACATAACACCAGTTCATGATGACACTGGCAGTTGAAATGACTCATGTTGGTAGGTGCAGACTGTTTGGTTAGGGTTCTCATGATTGCTTTAGCTAGTGGTTAGGGGCTTTGTGGACGATTTTGAGCCATGTCAAGGTTGCGATGGGTTAGCATACGTAGTAGATATCCTAAACATCTCAGTCGATAAAGACTCATCACCTAGTCAGTCCATTTGCTATAATCACTTAGAACTCTGGATCTAACCTCAGAACCGCTAACTCAGTATTATTTTATTATTTATTTATTTGAACACATAAATATTGGTACAGGGGGGCACCAAATATATATGCGCCACACAAAACAATGATAATTTGAAGAGAAAGGAGAAAAAAAAGAGAGAGAACAATAATAGGGGAAATCGGAAAAGTACAACCAGAAGAAATCTTTCAGTTAAGGAAGAGGCAACCACTTCTTATGAAGAAAGTAAAAGAAGGTTACAGCAGGATCGCCACTGGCTTCTATTCTGAGACATATCTGATAACGTCTTTAGCCACTGCGTTACACCGTCTCTCGGACCCCAACCAGGGAGTCGTGAAGGACCAACAGAAGCTAGCCCTATGCAGCTTTCTTTCATACCACGACACCATGTCATATACTGACCACCTCTCCGCTTTTTCCAACCAGTCCCAGAGTCGGCAAATAATGCACGACGAGGAATTCTCTGGGACGACATTCGTAGAACATGTCCAAGCCACCGAAGTCGGTGTTTCAAGATGGTGACACCAATGGAATTATTGTCTCTGTGACCGAACACTCGATGCCGAACCTCTGCATTACTGACATAGTGTTGCCACTGGATGCCAGCAATCCTTAGGAAACAACGATGATCAAACACAGAGAGTCGTCTAACATCCTCAACTCGGAGAGGCCAGGTTTCACAAGCATAGAGCAAAATTGCTCTCACCGTCGCGTTGTAGATCCGACCTTTTACAGCCAGACTAACATCACGAAGGCGCCAAAGATGGCCCAGATTGGCATAAGCCGCTCTGGCTTTCACTATACGTGCATTGATCTCATCACTCACACCACCACCAGCACTTATGCAGCTACCCAGATACACGAACTTCTCGACTACTTCTATCTGCTTACCATCCAGAGTGAGTACAGGATTAGAATCCTGCCAGTCTTGTAGAAGAACTTTGCACTTCGAAGGTGCAAAGCACATACCATACCTACGGACACTGATTGCCAACTGATTAAGTGCGGATTGCATGGCTTGAACATTGTCGCACAGTAAGACAATATCATCCGCATACTCAAGGTCGAGAAGTCTTTCTCCAGGCAACAGATCCACACCACCATTACTTACATCCGTCAGAGCTGTTTCCAGAATGTCATCGATGGCAAAGTTGAAGAGGAATGGTGAGATTGGGCAACCCTGCCTAACCCCACTACTTGAATGGAATAGTGGAGAAAGGTGGTTGTATGCCCTCACTCTGCCTGAGGTGTTTGTGTATAGGGCTTTTAGGATGTTAATAAACTTCTCAGGCACACCCTTCTTCAATAGACAATCCCAGAGAACAGTTCTGTCCAACGAATCGAAGGCAGCCCTGATATCAAGAAACACTACGATTGTTGGCCTTTGATAAGTATGGCGGTGTTCTAACACTTGGCGGAGGGTGAAGATATGATCAGTACATCCTCGATCAGAACGAAAACCAGTTCGCTCCTCACGAGTCAATCTTTCTCGGATTTTGAACAATCTGCGAAGTATGACAGAAGCCAACAGTTTGGACGCGATCGGAAGTAGACTTATCCCCCGATAGTTGTTACAGGAACAACGTGAACCCTTTTTAAATATAGGGACAACTATCGACTCATTCCATGACGTTGGTACACTCTCTAGTTCCCAGATCTTTGTAAACAACGTCGTCAGTCCCGCTAACTCAGTGGTCCCAAGAAATACGAGTAATGGTTCGTAGACACCAATGATCAAATGCTGGTAGCCTATGGATATCCTCTATATTTAAAGGCCTCGTCTCACAACTGTATTATTTAATTTATTTATTCGATCACAGATATTGGTATAAGGGGGCACCAAATACATATGCACCACACAAATCTCATTTGATTTGTGTGAGGGCTGTGACACTGCCCGGGTGCCCAAACCGTAAAACAGAGTGAACTGCTGTACAATAAACTCATTTTTTTGAGTGTCAAATGGATATATTACCTGCCCCACAAGTGATCTGAGTTGGCGAAAACCAACTGAGCTTTTTGAATTCGTGCAGAGATTTCGTCCAACATCGACATATAAGGGCTTCCAAGATAGGTAAAACGCTTAACTGCTTCAATTCCTATCCTGAGTCCAGGCGTTGATGTAAACTAGTCCTGAAGCAACATTTCGCATTTAGCGGGCCAAAAGTACATCCCAAACATGCTAGCATTGTTGCTTAAGCTGTTCAAAAAACTGCATATTTTTGGAGTTTCTTCCGAACAGAGTTATATCATCTACGTATCCTAAACCTACATAAAATTCTTATAAAAGGTCGATTCCTGACAAGTCAGATGATAAGAATGTTATCTCTAAACGAATGTCTATGACAAGGTTAAATAAAAATCAGGAAAGCAAACAAAACTAACGAATGTCACTTGAGGTCATCAGTTCCAATGATAGTTCACCATAAGCGTGTATATCATTTAACTTGTAGTCAGTAAAATGTACGACATATGTCAAATTCAATCATATATATATATTGATTAGTTATATCCATATGTTCCTCTGTATGATCGTTATTGTTGGTTTATTATTTGGCTTCTCGATTTTATTTCAGCTTCAACTTTGCATACAACGATTGAGTTCACACGTAAATGTTTGCAATGAATATCTCTACGATTTTATATTCAGTCAACCAATCAAGTGATTGATCTCACCGTCAATCTAAAACTTTTTTCATTTTTAATATATACATACAATATACTACTCGTACATTGTTACTTTGTTCAAGTCGTAAAAAGATATTGTTTGATGCATTTTTTTTTCTTACGTCCACTCACATGTCTTTGTTGTTTGTGTAAATATATTGTCTCGGATAAAATTGTACATATGACAAATAATATATCATCAATAGTAAATATTTCGTCATTATTATTATTATTTAAACACATAAACATTGGTACAAGAAGTCACCAGATATATATGCGCTACATAAATCATTCGATTTGTGTGAGGGTTAGGATACTGTTCGGGTGCCCAAACCGAAGCAGGTGGTTTTCTTAGGAGACCATACCCCGAGCCTTTGACCTAATTTATTTATTTATTTATTTGAACACATAAATATTGGTACAAGGGTGCACCAAATATATATGCGCCACACAAAACAATGATAATTTGAAGAGAAAGGAGAAAAAAGAGAGAGAGAACAATAATAGGGGAAATCGGAAAGGTACAACCAGAAGAAATCTTTCAGTTAAGGAAGAGGCAACCACTTCTTATGAAGAAAGTAAAAGAAGGTTACAGCAGGATCGCCATTAGCTTCTATTCTGAGCCATATCTGATAACGTCTTTAGCCACTGTGTTACACCGTCTCTCGGACCCCAGCCAGGGAGTCGTGAAGGACCAACAGAAGCTAGCCCTATGCAGCTTTCTTTCATACCACGACACCATGTCATATACTGACCACCTCTCCGCTTTTTCCAACCAGTCCCAGAGTCGGCAAATAATGCACGACGATGAATTCTCTGGGACGACATTCGTAGAACATGTCCAAGCCACCGAAGTCGGTGCTTCAAGAGGGTGACACCAATTTCATTATCGTCTTTGTGCCCGAACACACGATGCCGAACCTCTGCATTACTAACATGGTGTTGCCACTGAATGTCAGCAATCCTTCGGAGACAACGATGATCAAACACAGAGAGTCATCTAACATCCTCAACTCGGAGAGGCCAGGTTTCACAAGCATAGAGCAAAACTGCTCTCACCGTCGCGTTGTAGATCCGACCTTTTACAGCCAGACTAACATCACGAAGGCGCCTAAAGGTCTAACCCACAAGGCAGTGGAACAACGTTAGGAGACGCAGTCCCATGGTAGCCGGTGACCAATAATTGGTTCATACTCCATTTTTTCCTTCGGGACCTTGGAGCCCATGTGCAACAGTGATTTGGAATTAGGGTTTTTCAACTTCCCTAGGTGGACTGTCCGTGTCCACCGACCCGGTTAAAGCTCCGGACATTCTCTTTTCGCCATCTCAATTTCGTAAACAACACCCCAGTGGTGAGTAAGACTTCTCTGTTAGTGGTTGTATGCACATGGCCATGTGAGAGCATTTGGAGAGAGAGAGAGCTGACCCTCCCATGGTCGGCCGTACCAGAACATTAATTATAATTGTTTTTCTAGATAATAAATTATCGGGTAACAGTATTTCATTTGTAATCCTAAATTCGTTTCTAGATGCATTATTTACAGATATGTACTAAATTAGTTGACCTGTACAAACAAAATTTCTTTCATTTTTCAACTATAACTATGTATCATGGATCAGTAAAACTCACATCGATATTGCGAATATCACTTTTACAATGAAACGTATGTAATTTGTCTCTGCTGTATTGTAATTAGGAGTCAGCTTTCTTGTAATATGTAGCACACTGACTGAATTTGTGTCTATTAGCTGAGATCTGGATTTCGACTTAGTGACGTTTACACATAAAAATCCTTGACTTCAAAGAAGCAAACATTTTACCTGTAAACTTCTTAAGGTAGTAAAACCTGTCAATATTATGTAGCATCCAGTCATTGTTGCATGTTTAAAGTGTCCATTCAGGATGTTGTCAGTTTCATATAGTATTCATTCCGTCTGAATACTATGATTTCTTGTCTCACTGCTATACGAAATGAATTCATCAGCTAATTGAGGCGTAGTTCGAACTCTGTGAAACTTAAAAAATTGGGACATTTGTTCTTGAACACCGATGCGTAGCGAATGTATTCCTTAGCCGGTCGCGATATGGTAATTATTCACCCTAGTATCAGGAAATGGAGCTAACTCAGTCGTTTAGACGGCAGATTAAATTTGTTTTTAAATACCGCTCTCCAAGACTAATAAAACGTGCTTTTTCTAATTTTTTTCGAATCTTCCAGATTACAGTTTACCTTCATCTGACCAAATGTACTAGATTATCCAATCAGGAATATTTTCTTTGATATAACTCAGTGCAGACAAATTTGTCGCTTCAAATAGGAATGTTTTTACATTAAGTAAACATTTTAATAGTCATCCTGTTCGCTGTTTCTGTCTGTACATATATATGAACATCTAGAGTTGATCGTCATTTTACATTTTCAGTGGTGTTGTCAAATACGTCTTAAATTTTACCCTGGAGTACTTTGAAATAATGGTACTGACGTCCTGGTTACGGAACTAACTGAGTTGTTTACTAAGGTCTCTCAATTAGAGTGTCCCAACATCATGGAATGAGTTGATAGTTGTTCCTATCTTTAAAAAAGGTTCATGTCGTTTCTGCAACAACTATCGTAGGATAAGTCTACATCCGATTGCGTCCAAACTGTTGGCTTCTGTCATACTTCGCAGATTGTTCAAAATCCGTGAAAGATTGACTCGTGAGGAGCGAACTGGTTTTCGTTCTGATCGAGGATGTACTGATCATATCTTCACCCTCCGTCAAATGTTAGAACACCTTCATACTTATCACAGGCAAACAATCGTAGTATTTCTTAACATTAGGACCGCCTTCAATTCGTTGGGCAGGACTGTTCTCTGGGATTGTCTATTGAAGAAAGGTGTACCTGAGTTTATTAACATCTTGAAAGCCTTATAAACAAACACCTCGAGCAGAGTGAGGACATACAGCCTCCTCTCCCCACTGGGTCCATCCAAGCAGTGGAGTTAAACAAGGGTACTCAGTCTCACCATTCCTCTTCAAGTTTGCAATCAACGACGTTATAGAAACAGCTCTGATGGATGTAAGTAACGGTGGTGTGGATCTGTTGCGAATAATATTCTCTTACTGTGGGATGATACCCAAGCCGTAAAACCCGCACTTAATCAGTTGGCAATTAGTGTCCGAAGGTATGGTATGTGCTTTTCACCTATGTGCAAAGTTCTTTTACAAGACTGGCAGGACCCTTAACCTGCGATCACACTTGGAAGAGAGCGAATAGAAGTAGTCGAGAAGTTCGTGTATCTGGGTAGCTGCATAAGTGCTAGTGATGGCGTCAGCGATGTGATCGACTCACGTATAGTGAAATCCAGAGCAGCTTATGCCAATCTAGGCAATCTTTGGCGCCCTCATGATGCTAGTCTGGCTGTGAAAGGTCGGATCTACAACACTGTGCTTGTGAAACCTGTCCTATCAGTGTTAAAGATGCTAGAAGACTCTGTGTTTGATTATCGTTGTCTCCAAAAGAGTTCGAACATCCAGTGGCAACACCATGTTAGTGATGCTGAGGTTCAGCATCGTGTGTTCGGGCACAGCGACGATAATCCAAATGGTGTCATTATCTTGAAACATCGGCTTCGGAAGCTTGGACACGTATTACGAGTGTCGTCCCAGAGAATTCCACGTCATGCATTGCCGACTCTGGGACTGGTTGGAAAAAGCGGAGAGGTGGTCAGTATATGACATGGTGTGTTGGTGTTGATGAAAACTGTGAGGGACTGGCTCCTGTTGGTTCTTTACGACTCCGTGGTAGGAGTCCTATAGATGATGTAACATAGTGATCGAAGACGTTGTGAGACATGGACTGGAATAGAAGCCAGTTTCGATGCTTTAGTAACTTTCTTTTACTTCCTTCATGACTAACTCATCTGTTTCTCCCATTGTTATTATTTCACTACCATACACCAATTTCTATTCGTTGTTGTTCTTCTTTTTATTATACGCACGTTGTATTCTCTATATCTTTTCAACCTCACCGTTATTGCTTGGCGCATATGTATTTGGTGCCCTCTTGTACCAATGTTTGTGTTAAATAAATAAATGACTTAGAAAATGCCAAAGAAGGTGCGATATTACTCATAAGTAGCTTAATTTTCGGGTCAGTTTATAATTAGCTATTAGGACTTTTGTAGATTAATTAACCTTGATTTCTGTCGAAACTTGATGGTATGTTTGCTTTTCTCTATCAATATCAGATGTAAGCGATAACTAGTTAGAACGGACGAAATCCTTCAGTCACAGTGAGTAAACAAAACAGTAACTTCAACTTATGTTAAAAGTAACAGGTCATCGTCACATGTACCAGCTTCCAGCTGAAGAGCAAATTAGAAAAAGACGATAGAAGTGGATAGGACATGCTCTGAAAGAATCATCGAACTGTATCACGAAGCAAGCACTAACTTGGAACCCTGAAGGGAAACATGAAAACCAAGGAACACACTTCGTCGAGAATTAGAAGCAGACATATTGTAGCGGTAAATAAATCCCCCAAATAAATAGCTCTGTAAGTTTTCGACATTGGATGCTGACCACATTAGTTTTAATGGACTCATCTAGCTGAAGGCGCTCGGTCATACATCCGCGCCAGACCACGAGTGGGAACGCCGTGCTCAACATCTACTGCAATCGCTAGCCAGATTAGATCAGACGATCCTCGATATATTAATAGCCTATCAAATATATCTTCGAACCTCCTCGCTTTTGTCCTTTGATTTTACTTAGTGGGTACGATTCATATTAGAAGGTGTTACTGGTTAAAGCGTTGTCAAACTCCGGATACCTATGGCATCTTCAATATAAAGGATGAGTAGTAATTGGAAACAACTGGGAAGGATTGCTCAGGACAGAGTTGAATGAAGAATAGTAGTGAGTGACCTATGATCCTTCATAACCGGTAACAGGCGTAAATAGTAATCAAATATTTAGTTAGCTATTCAATAGTTTGAAAATAAAGCTTCATTTGTAGTGATTTTATTTCGGTTATTATCTAAAAAAATGGTTAAATAAACCTTTATATTCGGTAAGAAAACTTTGTCAAGGTTATTTCATGACCATACAATAACTGAGCATTTTCATATTGGCCAATTTTCTTTTTTGTTTTTTTTCTGTACACCTATGTACATTTATAAGTGTCTGGATAGAGACAAAGAATTATAGTATCTATCATTCTGT